ATCGAAACCTTGTAGAACATGAGCTACGCATCAAGGACGGGTGTAAGCCTTTTCGCCAACCCCCACGCTGGTTTTCGATCGAAGTACAACTTGGCATCAAGGATGAATTAGTTCGGCTTCTAAAAGGCGGGTTTATTAGGACCGCTCAGTACGTCGAATGGTTGGCCAATATCGTCCTGGTGTTAAAGAAAAATGGAGCCCTTCGCATTTGCATCGATTTTCGTAATCTAAATCTGGCCACTCCCAAGGATGAATACACAATGCCCATCTCAGACTTGCTAATTGATGCTGCAACTAATCATGAATTGCTATCTTTCATGGACGCCCATGCCGGTTACAACCAGATTTTTATCACTGAGGCCGACGTCCACAAGACGGCTTTCCGCTGCCCTGGGGCACTCGGTACTTACGAATGGGTAGTCATGCCTTTCGGCCTGAAGAATGCTGGGGCCACATACCAACGAGCCATGAATACGATATTCCACGACTTAATCGGTACAATCGTCGAAGTTTATATCGACGATGTCGTGGTAAAAGTGGGTATATAGCACATGGCATTATATATGCCAGCATAGGTTCAATGTTGAAAACCTTCCAATATAACTGGAAATAATTTCTCATTCACCACGCGCAGTTGAGGTAGAGCAGGCAGAGATCAACGACTACTCAAGGTACCCCTACCCATAGGAAAAGTCTAATACCTTATTCTTATCATAAATACATTTCTAATCAGAGAATACCTCTTTCAAGTAAGTAACCCTAATTCCATTTATTTAGGATATTTACCAAATTACTCCAAGATATTTATTTACACAAATATCTTAGGAATATTCCCATCTAAATTCCACTCTAGGCCCAGCCACTCCTAAACCCTAGAGGGCCAGCCCATGCTCCTCTCCTCTCCTATAAATACCCACTTTATCTCTAAAATTCAGAAGATTTTTTACTATCCACAAACATCTAAACACATTCTTTTCACATACTCCGTGTCCACCATACTAATGATTTAATTAAGGTAATTCACATTATTCTGATACGAAAGCTTCCAGTTTTCAACTCTTCGTACTGAAGATTTTTCATCTAACTTTCGTACTTGAACATATTTAATAAAATGTGTCACATCTGTTATGTTAAATCCAATGAACAGGCGGCATTATTTAGTGTACTAAGTTGTTAACTTTGTATAAATAGCTAGCTAAAACAGTTGTATCAGTTAATCATCAATCAATAAATCAAGAGCTTTCATCTCTCCCTCTCATTCTCTCTGTCTCTCTCTCTGTCTCTCTCTCTATCAACTGTTTTGTACCAATCTTTCATGTTTTGCTATAATTAAGATGGCATCAGAGCCAAGTTCTATTATAAAAAAAAAAAAAAAAAAAAAAGAATATTTTACCATGAAATCAATTAGTAATATGGAGAGTAACTCAATGTACTTATAAGCACATAGAAGGTCTCGCTTCTTACTAGAGTATTGATTTCTTTACTACTTCCATACATTCAATAGTTTGTTCGCAAGTTATCTATTAACCGAGACGTGGCAAAACAATATCTTTAGTTAATCACAATTAATAACAAATAAAATAAAATAACAAACAATAATCTTTACCTTTTGTATTAAAACTGAGTAAACATATCTTAATACATGAAGAAATTTGCATAAACTAATCGCTCCTAATTGGATATATGGGCATACTTATACTAGGTAGCTATTGCATTTTGTCAGTAGGGCTAATTTTGGTTGATGTATTTATAAAAAGACTAGTAAATCCAATTTCTCAAAAATAATATTTCATGGGACTGATTTGATTATAATAAAACAAAGCGTAAATTACATTTTACTCTTTCAAGTTTGGGTGTAATTGAAGCCTCATACAATATCTTTAAAATATTTTAATTGCATACATTCTTATTATTTTTTTTTTAATTTTATACAACCGTTAAAAAATATGATAAATTAATAATTAAGTAATGATGTGGTAACAATGAATTCTATAAGATGATTGCCAACTTGTGTCACACGGCTAAACAACTAATAAAAATATCTGGCCAATATATAAATGCTGTCGGCCCAACTAATAGACCGACCGTCTACTTTGTCTTGTGTTCCCATTTCGGTCACATTCTTAGTCTTTACTTAATAGTTCTATGTGTTAATAATTTTGGTTATTATGACCATGGCTGACCTCATTGGAGTGACGCATGATTTGGAAGCTTGATGTAATTGGCTCGCTTGTATCTTTTCCTAACTATTCTTTACCAGTTGTAGCCTGGTCCATAGGAATAGTTTATGTGTACATATGTGTGTGTGTGTATTTTTTTTTTTTTTAAAAAAAATCTCGACGGTATGAGAAAATTTTTATTGATAACGAAAAAGGAAGTAAATTAGTCAAGGGGACGTAAACCTTATCCCACATATTCAAGAAAAAGGAGAAACTAAAAATGAAAAAGAACAGGAGACATAAACCTTATCCTTTTAGAAACAAAATAACAAAGGATACAAGGAAAAGAGGGGGAGGGACATGAAACCTAACCCGTCCAATGCCAAATCCAAAAGGTCTAAACCTGCAAAACAAGTTGAACAACAACACGAGGTTAGGAAAAAAAAGTGAGACAAACCTGTATGTCGAGATGTACATTAATTTGAGAAGCAGAAGTTAGGCAAATCAACATAGTTGGAAAATAAAGCAGTAAGAACCACCAACGTAGGAGAATCGTGCCATACCAAAGTTAGAGAAAATAAGCCCATGTTAGCAAATTTATCTGCGACAACATTTCCTTTACAATATATATATATATATATATATATATATGAGACGTAGAAAGTCATCTTCGAAATACAGCCCAAAACTTATAGACCTTTGTGTATGAAGAGGCTAAGGAGGATCAAAATTGGTTGACTAGAGAGCAGAAATAATATTGTAAGAGTCACTTTCCAACCAGAGATAATGCCAGCTCTGCCGTATAGTTTATATGTCAAATAACTGAATGAGCAATTGTCGACTTTCATAAAGAACATGGGTAGGTGTGGAGTATATTTGTAAGAGCGTTTTCCGGCCAAGACAGCCATTTTTGAGCTTTTTTTTCGGGCAAACCACGGTGATTTAGCTGACGAGAAAGGTACCATTCTATTCGTCTCATCGAGAAGTATGATTTTCTTTTTGAATCACTCAATTTTGTTGAGTTATGAAGAAGTTATGAACGTTTAAAGTTTACCTAGTTTCCAGTGAGTTTTTCAGTTTTCCCATGGACCAGTCACCTTTCAGGCTATTTTCCAGCCATCTCCGGCAACCATTGGGCTTCCAAATAGGTATAATCTTGTTCTACACTTTCCTATCTTCATTTTGATATATTATGGGTTGAATTTGGTTGAGAAACGATTGAGTTACAAAGCTTTGAAAATTACCTAAACTTTCGGCCAAGAGCTCCAGAACACTTAACAGAGTTTTTCACGGAATGACCAAAATAATGAATAGTGGACAATCCCGGGGACCATTTCTATTGATTTTCAATCTCAGAGACCAAAGTGAGGTGTTATACAAATCTCAGGAACCATTTGGTTAAAAAGCCTTCTTTTAAACAAGTGGCTTATAGTATGACGAGGAATGAAATTTGTGACATGGTGAACTCAAAACACTAGATGTTTTAAGCGTTGAATTTCGTTTCTATCATTTGTGATTTATATGAAATGAAATTTGGCATTTTCAATTGGAGATGTTTTTTTTGTTTACATGGATACAGCTACGCAGCGCATTATTTCACTCCAATTTTAATGATAAGGGTGGGTACGTCGCATATATAATGGGCATTATATATGCTAGCATGAGTTCAATTTTGAAAACCTTTCAATATCACTGGAAATAAAATAAAATAAAAAAGCACAAGAAAGAAACGAAATTAAACCAAAATTAAGAATAAACTATCTGATCTTCTTTTCTTTTCTTCTTCTTCTTTTTTTTTTTTTTTTTTTTTTTTTTTTTTTTGGTGTTTCTATGAATCATTGTGATGACGATCTATTTGATCAACCAGAATCATTAGACTGCCAGATTAATCAAATAACTCATCTCTTCACAAGCTTTCTACCATTCTCTCAGTCCGACTGAGGATATAGATCTATAGCTCTCACGATTGAAAATTGTATAAAAGGTTTTATAAATTCACCATGGTTCACAATTGATACTAGGCCGCCCCAGAAAACTAACAGAACCTATCTTCTTTGCGTAAGTTTTGTATAATGACCCGGAAAGAATAAATAAAAGGGAAGGCATATCTTCGTTTATAGTTTTATATTGATAAAATTTGACAACTAAAAAAGAATAATGTGAATTACCTTAATTAAATCATTAGTGGGGTGGACACGTAGTATGTGAATATAGAGAAAAACAAGACCTGAGATTCTGAACCATTTATCATGCGCTAAGAGAAATATTAATTAATTAAAGACCAAGAACAATAAGTTGTTGTCATTTAGTACTATGGTTTAGTAGTATTCCTCTTTACCTGTAAATGAGAGATTTTAGGTTCGATTCTCGCAAAAGGAAAATTTGAACCACATTATTATTGATCTATTGTGAGACTAGCTCATCATCCCCCTCTTAATAGTATATCGTTTGTGAGACAATACTTTCATTGCTCTAATAACTCACCCCCTCATTAACGGATCAGAAACGTTAAATGAAAATACTTGTACGATCGAAACCTTTTAATTTATTAATTTTCATTTAAAGATCATGCCTATAACAATTCATTCGAATCAGAAATCATTAGAGATATTTTTAAATGAAGATAAATAAATTGCAACAGTCATATATTATGTTCGCAAATGGTAAATATGTGAATTACACCCAATGGAGGTGCAACAAAAATTATGGTAGCTGACCACTCGTAGCAATTTTCTTCTTCTATAAATAGGAGATAGCTGGTTTGGAGGTGGGAGCAACCAAAGAAAAACACACGAGAGATCGAATTAAGAGAGAAGAGAGAAAAAGATCGTCTTAGTTAACATGGCATCACTACTGCCAAGATATTTTGCGCTGAAATCAAACAACAACAGAAAATGCTTGCGCTACATAGATCAAGTTGTGGAAAATCTTCGTGGAGTTCTCCAATTTTCCGAAGAGGATTTTAATAGCCCGTATGCAAGGTTCGAAATGGAGACAGCGAACAATGGTGACGGAAGTTACGTGCACATTAAATCCCGGTGGAACAACAAATACTTGAGAAGAGCAGACGACCAACACTGGTGGATTGTAGCCGGGGCTGACGAACCAGAGGAAAACGAAAACCTTTGGTCCTGCACATTGTTCAAGCCAGTGGCTGTCCATGCGCACAACAACGTAGTCCTCCTTCGATTACAACATGTGGAACTTGGGCACTATGTAAAGTTATTCAGTGCAAACGCCTTCCGTTCATGCCTCTTCGCACACCAACCGAACCCGGACCACCAAATGATGGATGCGTACACAGTCATTGACTTGGTACCAGTCGGAATACCTAACCATTTTGTGCTGAAATCAAACAACAATGACAGATACTTGCGCTACAAACTTGATGAAGATATTATCAATCGTGAAATTCTTCAATTCACGGCAGTGGAGCCTACGAATCCGGACACAAAGTTCCAAATAGAGCTGGCAAACAGTAGGGAGAACCAAGATAATCATTACGTTCATGTCAAATGCTCCCACAACAATAAGTACTTTAGAAGGTTGGACCAAAACAACCTATTGATCCTGGCTGCAGCTGACCAGCGAGACGAGGACAAAAGAAGATGGTCTTGCACATTGTTCAAGCCTGAGCTTGTTGGGCAAGCAGACAAAGATAACAATAATGTGCTCTGCCGACTGCAACACGTGCAAAGCAGTCTGTATACAAGGCCATTCATTGAAAGCAGATTAGAACTACGCCTGAACCAATTAAGTCCTGATCTCCAAGAACTGGATGTCTACACAGCCAGTCCTGTGCAAGAACCGACTAGCCTTCCATGATCATCATGATCTGATGTTTGTGGGTAGTGTCTCTGGAAACCCTCACGAGACTTCACTCGTCCCATCAGGGTCACCTATGGGTTTAAAAGGCTTGTTGTATGTGCTCAATGCAATCGAGTTCCCTGCGAAAGTGGCATTGGTTTTCATCACTAGTTTCTGTTATTTTCATTTTTAAGTATTTAAGTTTCACTGTAATGCGTGTGTGTTAAACCAATAAACACAGATCCGAAATGTTCTTTGTGTAGTTGTGGGTTGAATAAAAGTTGTGCTTGTTGGGAATTCTTGATTTTAAATGCCGTACTTATGACTTGAATTCCGTATTTAGTAATTTTAAGTACTAAATAAACTAATCAGGACATCTAGGAGGAACTACAAACTTGCTACTCTCTTCTAAATAAGTGAGAAGAGAAGATGAGTACCCTTCATTAACTTATGAGTTTTATCAGATGGAGTATTTCATTGCAATCTATTTTCATACATCTTAAATTAAACGACATGACAGCCCTCCAAAAAGCTGGAACCAATTCGTTGTGTGCAGTGGGTGTGGCATGAATTCTTTTTTAGTTGTAAAATTTCATCAATATAAAACTATAAACGAAGATATGCCTTCCCTTTTATTTATTCTTTTCGAGTCATTATACAAAACTTACGCAAAGAAGATAGCAATGTTCTGTTAGTTTTCTGGGGCGGCCTAGTATCAATTGTGAACCAAGCTGAATTTTATAAAACTTTTTATTACAATTTTCAATCGTGAAAGCTATAGATCTATATCCTAAGTCGGACTGAGAGAATGGTATAAAGCTTGTGAAGGGATGAGTTATTTGATTAATCTGGCAGTCTTATGATTCTGGTTGATCAAATAGATCATCATCACAATGATTCATAGAAACACAAAAAAATAAAGAAAAGAAAAGAAAAGAAGATCAGATAGTTTATTCCTAATTTCGGTTTAATTTCGTTTCTTTCTTGTGCTTTTTTATTTTATTTTATTTCCAGTTATATTGGAAGGTTTTCATAATTGAACCTATGCTAGTATATATAATGCCCATTATATATGCTACATACCCACTCTTACCATTATAATCGGAGTGAAATAATACGCTACGTAGATATATCCACGTAAACAAAAACAAATCTCCAGTTGAAAACATCTAGTTTTTTGAGTTCACAATGTCACAAATTTCATTCCTCATCATAGTTATAAGCCAATTGTTTAAAAAAAAATTCTTACCAAAATACTCCACACCTATCCATGTTCTTTATGAAAGTTGACAATTGCTATTCAGTTGTTGGACTTATACACTATTCGGCAGAGTAGGCATTATCTCTGGTTGGAAAGTGACTGTTATAGTGCTATTTCTGCTCTTTAATCAACTAATTTTGATCCTCCTTGGTGTTGGAGAGAGTTGACCTTTGTAATTAGTGTAGTTGTCTGTTTGGGTCCTTGTAATCAGGATGTGATTAGGGTAGATATTATTTTATGTTTCTTCCCATGTAAATCAATCTTGTACATATATATGTCCCTCCTTGGTGAGAAGAATAGTATTACAGAATTAAAACCCCAAGATAAGTCCTAACTAGCATGGTATCCGAGCGGAGATCCTAGGATTTCTACTTTGCCTATTCCCTCAAGCAAATTTGGCCTTCCCATGGAGAACCTACCATCACTCCACGGTGAAATCAACCCCATCCTACCCCTATCCTAAACACTACCATGAATCCTACTCCATCTTTACCACAAGTTGTTACACAAATTGTTCATCATGATTCTTCTACGGCTTCGATTGGCATCAAACTCAATGGTGCCAATTATGCAGTTTGGTCTCAAATTGTTGAGATGTTTGTTGCTAGCAAAGACAAGTTGGGCTACTTGTTTGGGAGTAATCCCAAATCCTCTACTAATGATTCGGCCTTCACCAAATGGCATATAGAGAACACCATCGTGAAGGTTTGGCTCATCAATTCTATAGAACCCAATTTAATTGGGTATTTTCTTCGACTACCGACGATGAAAGAAATGTAGGACGCGATTGCTCGCACATATTATGACAGCTCCAATATACCTGCAAAGCCTCTCGCATAAGGCAAGACGGATGACCAGTGGAGACATACTATAGTGATCTTCAATCTTTGTGGCAAGAGATTGATTATCGTCAACCTAATCAGATGAAATGCGGTATTGATATTGAAATTTATAATAAAATTGTAAAAACGGATCGTGCGTATGCTTTGCTTGCAGGATTGGATGACATGTTTGATAAAATTCGTAGTGATATTCTATGAATTGAGCCCCTCAATTTCGTCAAACAAACCTTTGCCTATGTTCTCCAGAAAGCAATGAGACATGTTGTTATGAACATTAGAGGACAGCTGCCAAGTGGGACAACAATGGTGGCTCAGTTTGCAACACAAGTCGTGGCTCCACCTCATCCCCACACCCTCAAGAAGCTGCTTGCACAGGGCCCAGGACTGCAGCGCCAAGCTACTGCCTTGAGTCCAGCACATGGCTCGCTTTTTGTTGATAAGACGACCTCACGACCCACCGTGGGCCCTTGCCTTCTTTGTCCCAAACCACTAGTCCCGGTTGCTGGTTGTACTTACTACGACAATGAGAGGCACGGTCGCAATAATTGTTTTCAGTTGCATGCTATCTGGAATGGTGGGAACCATTGAAGCTTCAGAAACAATGGGAATGAGATGAGCAAGCCAAGCTTGGGGAAGCCAATCTTGTGACCTTAGTGTCCCAACTATCTTTGATATCTCGAGATGATCCTCCTCCTATTTTGAGTTCTTCTGATATGTCTCCAAAGTCCTCAGGTAACTGTGGTTATGCTTTTAATATGAATAGTGATGATACTCAATTCAGTTGGATCATTAACTCTGGTGTTACAGACCATATGACTTATGACCCCTTTGATTTAGCATGTGATGTTGTTCCACTTCGATGTAATATTATCAATGCTAATGGTGTCACCTCATCGATGACTGGTGCTAGCACTATACGCCTCACGCCTACCCTCTCTTTGCCTCATACACTACTCGTACCTTCACTAAAGCATAAATTAATGTCTCCTGGCCAAGCTACTGAGCAATTGAATTGTTTTGTACTAATGTATCCGAAGTTTTATCTTATTCATGATATTCTTAGCAAGGAGATAATTGGTCGTGGTACTAAAAGGGGGGATCCCTATTTTGTGGATGATGTTAGTACAGGCCGAGTCAATCTTGCCCAAGGAGCCATTGATCATAAGCAGCGTCAGATATGGTTATGGCTTCACCATTTGGGTCATTCGTTTTTCAGTTATTTACAACATATGTTTCCAAATTTATTTGTTGGTTGTTCTGTTTCAGACTTTAAATGTGACACTTGCGTACTTGCAAAGAGTCACCGTGTTTCTTATCCGTTGAATTCTAATAAAATTATTACTCCTTTTGGCCTTGTTCATTTGGATGTTTGGGGACCATCTTCGATTACCACTTTATCTAGTATTAGGTGGTTTGAGACTTTCATATACGATTGCACACGGATGACATTGTTATACATTCTTCAGCATAAAAGTGATTTGTTTTTGGCTTTTAAGACATTCCACACCATGGTTCAGACATAATTTTCTACTAAAATCCGAATTTTGCATTTTGATAATGGCGGTGAATATGTTAATAATGATTTTACACATTATTTGTCTAATCACGGAATCCTCCATGAAACTACTTGTCGTCAGACTCCCCAACAAAATTGGGTGGCTAAGAACAAAAATCGCCATCTATTAGAAACGGCTCGATCTCTATTGATTGGGGCGCATGTTCCCCGCTCATCTTGGGATGTTGCTTTTCAGACTACAATCTATCTTATCAACCGAATGCCATCCAAAGTCTTGGACATTCTTATGCCTTTATAAGTTCTTGCTACATTCGAGCATCTACCATCTGTTTTGGTGCTTCCACCTTGGGTAAGATGTGTTGCATTTGTTCATCTTCATAAAAATCAACAAATGAAACTTGACCCGTGTACTCTCCATTGTATTTTTAAGGGTTACGAACTACATCATAAATGGTATTGTTGCTACCACCCCTCTTCGCGACGAATGTATGCTACCATGGATGTCATGTTTTCCGAGTCCGAGATGTACTACTCTTTGGCTTTTTCCAACCCTACTCTTCAGGGGAAGACACCGAATGATGAGCAGGATTGGACCATGGCTGCTACCACTGATCTTCTGTTGCTACTAGTAGCCGGGCCAATAGAGGTTGCGTTGCCAGCTCAGCCAACAGTAGCAGCGTCCTTGCCACTAGTAGCAACAGTACCAGCGGCAGGCATGGCAATGCAGTCACTATCCACAGCAACAATGTTGCCACTTGTCGATTTTGAGACTTCTACTGACCTCCAAATATAGTACCACCAGATGGCCATACTCGTGAGAATATTCCTAAGGTAAGCTTTACTATCCCTGTTGATGTAATGTTCCAAATTATCAGTTACCTTTCAGGCACAACTGAGGAAAACCACCTAATCGATATTCAGCGAAAACAATGAAAGGCTCTAAATATCCCATTGCCAACTATATGTCATCACATAAATTATTTGAACCCGGCAAAGCTTTTGTACAACAAATATCCAATGATAGCACACAAAGTTCATTGAAGCAGGCACTATTTGACCATCGATGGACCGAGGCAATGTAGGAAGAAATGGATGCACTTCAGAAAAATCAAACATGGGATTTAGTTGCACCATCCCAAGGAAAGAAGAGAGTTGGATGTAGATGGGTATACACCATCAAGTACAAAGTCGGTGGGTCCATGGAGAGATACAAAGCATGATTGGTGGCCATGGGATACATTCAGAAGTATGGTGTTGACTATACAGAAACATTTGCCCCAGTAGTGAAGATTAATACGGTAAGAGTGTTACTTTCTTTGGCGGCTAACTTAGATTGGCCATTATAGCAGCTAGATGTGAAAAATGTTTTCTTACATGGCAATCTTAAGGAAGAAGTGTA